TCGAAATCAACGATTTCACTAAGCTTAGGAAAATATGCAACAGTGTTCCAGGCTGAGCTAATAGCCATACAACACTGTGCAAGAGAAATATTAAATCAGCAAGTATCAGGCAAAACTATTGCCATATACTCTGATAGCCAAGCAGCTCTAAAGGCAATTCTCTCACCAGAAATCAAATCACGACTGGTGAAAGACTGTCTAGAAGACCTGACAGAGCTAAGTAGTCAAAATAAGGTGACCTTAGCCTAGGTTTCAGGCCATGAGGGATATAAGGGCAATGAAAAGGCCGACGAATTAGCCCGAGAAGGCTCAGATAAGACCATGACAGGCCCTGAACCCTTCTGTGGAGTTGCTAAGGCATTGTGCAAGGCATCCATTAAACAATGGATGCAAAAACAGTCTCTGGAATGGTGGAACAACTATCCAAGACTGAGACAGGCCAAACAGTTCATCAAGGAACCATCGGCCAAGTTTACGAAAGACCTACTGGATCAAAAACGTCAAATCGTTAGGATAACAGTAGGCCTTCTTACTGGACACTGTCGCCTCAAAAGGCACATGAGTGTCATAAATCCAGCAGACGAAGCAACTTTGTGCAGGTTCTGTGAAGAAGAAGAGGAAACATTATTCCACGTCCTGTGCCAATGTGAAGGCTTGGCTGGAATGAGGTTTTTAATATTGGGCGAAGAAAAGCCAATTGCATGCAACTACATGCGGGAGCCACTGTCAAAGCTACTAAGTCTAATAAAAAAGACCAGGCTAGACGACATACTCTAAAACAAACGGAGTCCCACAATAGATCTGAAAAGGTCGCGGTGGACAAGGACAAATAACGTCCAGCTCCTAATCTAATCTAATCACCAATATTATGACATCTACCTTGTTCAAGAAATGGTTTGGTGAACAATTAATTCCTAATTTGCCACCAAATGCTGATATAGTAATGGATAATGTCCTTTACCACTCTCGTCAGACTAGTGAAATTCCAAAAGCAAAAGCTCAAAAAGAGGTAGTTTCCGCGTTTTTGGACAAAATGGGTGTATCATATCCAATTACAGTTTAAAAAAAGATTTTCTTGCAATATTGAAAGGCTTAAATCTCAAACCTAGCCATGTTGTAGATTAGATGGCTACGACATTCGTTCAGACCGTAATATATTTACCACCGTATTATCGTACATTAAATGCCATAGAATTAATTTGGAGTAATATCAATATGGAGGTAAAAAAATTAATCCTGCGTTGTCTGAAACCGTTCATCTCAAGAATTACCAAAATTGAAAATAACCATCGAATATTTTCGGCTCATTCTTGCATTATAAACCTGAATGACATGTCAAGTGAAGATGATAGTTTTGATATAACCATGTATCTGTTGGTTCACGTTATTTTGGAAAGGAACATGGTTTTGTTCCTATTTTCTTTTTCTAGAAATCTAACCTTGACGTGTTGAGAAGACTTGGATGCTTCAATCACTTTAAAAATTAAAGCCACAGTAATTTATATTCAATAATATTCAATGTAATAATTAAATACTTCAAGGAAATGAAATATTATAGTTTCATGGCGATTTTTATTACAAATCGTGAATATTTATTTCGGATCAATTTCGTAAGTGTTGCCTTTAAAAGTAAATTTAGTGATATTTATTAAATAATCGGAGGAGGAAATTATGCGAATAATGTGATATTTAAATACGTATAACATTTCCTCTTTAAAGCGTAACATACAGTTAATAGTCCATCCCTGGGTTGCCGTTAAACGTGTTTTTATACGATATCCTTTGTTTTCCGAAAAAGAAAGAATATTTTTACGTCCAACTATACTTTTGTCTAATATAACCTGCAAAATGAAAGTAGTACATTTATTTTTGCAACATAAATTATCTAATCAAATATGTATATTGACCAGAAAAAAGATAAAAATAATGAAATTATTTAAGTAATTTGATAAAAATAAATATCTAGAATCTATGTAAACATAAAAATCAATGTAAAAATTTAATCATCAAATCGATTTTACTATTATTATTATGGATCAAAATTGAAATTATGTGTTTGACATTTTACATATATGTGATGAGGAAAGTAGATTCATATTCACACACATGGTATAATACATGTATAAAGTAAAGAGTGGTCCACAAAAAATGTTTCTAAAGTAGGCCATAATCGACAAAGATATATACAAGTCATGTTCGTGATAAGTATACACGGCTCTGAATTAAATCTAAACTGAAGACTTAAAAAGAAGAAGAATTGTAGGCTCCGACATGCGTGAATTTTTCAGAGACCTACTTTAGAAAGATTTTATATATATTTTCTTTATTCTTTATTAATATGTTCTTTTTTAAATTCGATTTAATCATCATCAAATTAGTTACTGTTTCTAGCGCCACTTTAGGAATTGCACTGTTAATTAGAACCCAACAGTGAATGGTCAAGTGGGAACTGTTTCTTATGCATTATAATTAGTTTTTATTTAATTAAATTAATTAGATAAAATTCCGTTGCCTGCAGGATTCGAACCCAGAACCCTTGGATCCGAAAGTCCTGACTCTAACCACTGAGCCACACATCCCTCAGAATTGTTTTATTTTTAATTTCTTTCAAAAAGTCTACATATCGTCGCCCTTCTCACGAAGTGGCATAAGTAGCAAATAGTAAATTTTACAGGAGAGCAATAAAACGAAAATACGTAATTCTCAGGTTGACATAATATAGAGGGATTTAGAGTTTGCGCTTTCAAAATTTTATCATGGAATATTAAGGCCTTGTTTTATTGTTTGGTAATTCCAGATTAGCCAAACTTCCTCGGGATGTTTTAGAACAGTTCGTGAGGAAAATATTCTGCGTTATTGCAGATAGGACACAGAAGTAATATGCTGTATTGCATTTATTACATTTATTAACATCTGTTAATTTGGAGTCCATTTTTAATGCTTTGGATGAAGTTTTAAAGTCAATTAAATTATAATGGGAACAGGTAATATCTGTATGTTTTGACAGGGCTTCGACAATGTCCGGAAATATTTCTGGTGTTCAGTCACGATGTAAACAAAAGAATCCTGATATATTATACGTTCACTGCTAAGCTCACTGTTTGAATTTAACTCTCGTAGATGTTTGCTGTTCTCACCCAAATAACAAATTAATTTTTGATTTTTTTGTAATAATTCAATGTGTTTATTCGTTTCTTGAATGTAGTTGTGTAAGACATGCAATTCTAGAAAAAATTGCAAACAGTGTAAATAGGGCACTTAAAACATTAAAATCGTCGTCAACAACTAGATGGGCATGTAGATCTGAAGCGGTTTCTGCAGTGAAGGAAAATTACGAAATTTTAAAAATAGCTCTTGAAGAAATTATTCAAAACATCAAACAATCTGATGTTAAAATAAAAGCGGTGGGATTACTAACGCAGTTAAAATCGTTTAATTTCTTAATTTGTTTGCATGTGACCTCACCTATTTTAGTAATGATTCTAAAAGTAAGTAAAGCATTACAAAATGGAAAATTTGAACTTACTGACCGCAATTAATTCTGTAAAGAGTTTACAATCAAGTTTGCAGAAACTGAGGGTTGATTCCGAAATATTTTTAAATAAAATATATGTTGAAGTTGAAGAAATATCTAACAAACATGGCATTATAATTCCGGAAACAAGAAAAAGAAAAGTTCCTCGCAAAATTGACCAAATGTGTGATAATCAACACGAATTTGAAAATATCAAAGATTTCGTTAGGATAAACACGTTTTATCCATTTTTTTGGATTCACTTATTTCCGGAATAGATCAACGTTTTAATCAAGAAATCACAGATATAATTAGAAATATGGATGAAATACTAACTTTAAATAGTGGAGGCGATTTCACTTCAATCGAAAATAAATTTAAAATAAAAAAAGAAGAATTAGTCGCGGAACTGAGTTTAATTAAATTTGATAACTCTATCCCTGAAGGGGTTAATTTTACAGAATGGATAAATTCGATCCTTTCCTTAGACATATACAAAATATATCCTAGTTTTTTTCGCAATTTTAAAAATGTTTACTACTATACCAGTCACTAGTTGCTCTTGCGAACGCTCGTTTTCTAAAATGGTTCAAGTTAAATCAAAACTAAGAAGTACTATGTCACAAGAGAGACTAGATTTACTTCTCTTTTTATTTATTGAACAGGAAAAAACTGCCTGTGTAAAGTACGATAATGTAATAGACGTTAAAGTTCTTACAGCGTCAACACGTCGAATGCGTTTATAAAATATTTCCCGTCATTATTATTTTTTATTTATTTTTTTATTATTATTACGTATTTTTATTATTATGTATTTTTTAGATTATTTGTTTCTTTGTTTAATAAATTATTTTATTACTAACTATATTACTTATTTATTAAATATTTTTATTAGGAATAGGACAACAACTGTCAATAACCATCGACAATTTAGCTTTAATGATTGTTACTGATTTGATTTTGTCATTTGGAAAAACGCGCGTTGCCTTGTTATTTAACGATCCTAACTACTTTTGGTGAGCATCAACAAAAAAAACTCCTACAACAGGCTTGCGAGCTATAGAGAAAAACCCGTTATTGCCTTTCATCTCATATATTTAATTGAATCAATGCCCCCCCCCTAATGAAAAAGCCTGCGCATGTCTATGATTTAGAGTAGTCGGAGTGTTAAAAAGTATGAAAAGAAAATTATTTTGTCCGCTCGAATGCAATATTTAAGACCCCATAGGTAGAGGGCCACAGTAATAGCTTGAATTTTTCAAAAATTTTATTGCTGGTTATAAACAGTTTACAAAAAAATTAAATATATTTGACAAATGTTTTTTACGATCACCTTGTATGAATCAACCAATTTGAATAAAAAAATACGAATGAATTTTTCAACTAAATAGGTACAATCCACTAATAATTGCATTATCAAATTTATTTTTAATTTCGATAATTTTTTTAATTAGTTTAGTTGATAACTTTTATTCGACCGTGTCAATTAATTAACAACAATATAATCTATGAAACTGTTAAATTTATTTCACTTATCTGTGTTTCTGTGTCACCATCATACAAGTGTAATATTTTTCAAATAAAAAAGTGAGTAACTTTGAATTCGGTATATTTTTAATAGCCTGTCTTAGATTATAAAATACTATAGCATGTTGTTATGCATGTTACATCCATTTGCTAATACTGAGTAATTTATCCCTAAATTAAATTTTGTTTACAAGATTATTAATTGGTGATTTTATATAAGTACACGGACACGGAACACGCTATTTCTAATGTAACTGTTAATAGCAACAATTGTTATATTTATTTTCAATTCCTAATTTATCAACGGCAATAGTAAATATTCAACCTAATAACACTCAAACTCATTAAAGTTTTTTATAAACTTTGTACATGTACTATTACCAAAGCTCCTCTATTTACCTTTAAAACCCGGTCGTACATTGCAAAGAAACGTAGCGCGTAGCTATTTCGTAAATGAACCGACATGCGTTGCCTGGTGCGCAGTTGCCAGGCTGTGTAGTTTATCCCTTTCATATTTAAAAATAGATTTTACCTATAACTCACTAATAGCTAATAGAAACAAGTTTTATTAATTAGAATAGTTTCGAAATATGTTTCGACACATCAAGCGTTCCCACCAATTCATTTTCGTACCTAGTGCAGTGTTAACAACTCCAGTGATTTGTGGGCAGAGATGTTGCAATATTTCCCGAAACATTTCTAATAGTAAGTCTCTAAATAAAATGACATGTAACAAAACAAAAAACTATAAAATGTGTACAAAGTAGATTAAGCTATTTTAACCGCTTTCAGCAGACTTGATATTTTAGCAGCACCTATTTTCACACCATTATGCAGGGCATTTTTATACCTATCGTTTTTACATACATACACTTGCTAAATAACAACTTTTTAAATACTAAGATAAACTATGGCAAACATCATTATTATTCCTGAAAATGAATGCAAGGATTTTAAAAGCGTTAAACGTGACACCACCGCAATTTAAAATAACCTTGTTTTATTCATACTATACGTCACGTATAGTATTTTATCCATCGATAGTTTGCGACGTTTCGATCCAGTAAATTGTTGCATATTGGGTGTTTTTGTTAATCTTTAGCTTTCTTTGGAAAAAATTAGGCTTGTGTATAGCTAAAAACATGGTTCGCGAGTGCTTTTTATGCAAAAAACTGGAAAATGTGGGTGCTGAAGTATCTTTTCATAAGTAAGTAAGGCTAGGTGATAATGTATTGCATAGTTCAGTGGTGTAGATTTAAAGATTTTTGCCGTAATATCATATGTATTATCTACTTTTGTTTTACTATTATTTTCTTTGATATTTCAACGTTATTAATTTCGCAAAAAATTGTAATTAATAGAAACACTTTAGTCTGCACTATTGTACTGAAATAAATATGCTTATGCTTGATTTTTAGATTCCCAACTGATAGGCATACAAGAAATATTTGGCTCGCACTTGTAGGACTTGAAGAAAATAAAGGTATCCAAAAACGAGTGTTATGCTCGGAACATTTAAGTGTTTATCCTCTAAGATGAAAGTTGGTACTTTACCTTACACAGAAATTTTTATATTGTAAGTTCTTTAAATTTTGTAGGTGCTTAACAAGGACAAACTTTTTTATAAACTCATATTACATTACATTCTTTGATTATTTTCATAGATTTCCTTAATCAAAATGTATACTTACCTTTACATTAAATTTCTGAATACTCTATTACAGCTCTGATTCCAGTATCAATATTTTTGACAGCCCTAGTAAGAAACCAGAAGATAGTTTATCTATGCCGCACACATTTAGAAAAAAACTATTTATGGATGATCATAAGAAAGTTAGTTTACTGCATAGTTTTACGAGTTAAAAACTATCAATGGATAGGTTTATTGTTGTACAGTTCTTCTTTTTTTTTGGATTTTACAAAATTCTTATTGCCAGATCTGCTATAAGAATCGTTCCAATTAAAATACCCACCTTGTGTATGGTAAATTTATTGTTAAAAAGCTCTCATTTACCAATTTGTAAAACTGTTCAAATTTTAACCCCAAAATTGAAATCGAAAATTTGTTTAAAATAAATCTTGATTTATTTGTCTTGTTTTTAGTTTATTTATTTTATTTACCATATTTATATGTAATAAATATTGTAATATTTTTGGAAAAAAATAGTGTTTTTAAGTTTTTTATCTACATTACACTGAACTTCATACCCGTATTCCAAATCCATTCCGTTTTAAAGTTTAAACCATTATAAAATTTATTGCACACCATATAAGTTAGTATTTCATTATTTTTTTTATAATTAGTTATGATTTTATCTTTAATAAGGTACGCCACTGGTATCGACAGACTTTTAGCACAGCTTAACAATACAGCTAAAACACTCTCTTGGCGGCAACGGTTTGCGTCCATTTCGTCGCGCATCGCTTAAGCTCCGCCTTCGAAGGGAAAAGACGGTTTTGGTGTTCAGAAGCGTACTTAGGTAAGGTGTTGAGTCGTGCGTATAATTTCGTTGATTGTATAATTTCGTGGAGCCTATAATTTCGTTGATTGTATAATTTCGTGGAGCCTATAATAATAATAATAATAATAATAATAATAATAATAAAAGCTTTTATTGGCAGAGAAAAAAAAAACATACAGATAAGCAAAATACAATATTTGCCAAAAGGCAGAGTTAGGTCTAATCCTTGCAAGCAAGGGTAAGTCCTCTCTTCCACTCAACCTATTTAATTAAACTACTTAATTAAAAATAATTATAATAATGATAATAATATAAGCTAGATAAAAACAAGCGAAATTCAAGTTAATCCATGTTAATGACGCAGAAATAATAATATAATAAATAGAAAACGAAAATAAAGCACAAGTCTAGAATGTTAGTTCATTAGTAAATAGCAAGTTTTTTATTTTATTTTTTATAGTGCTCAATGAGCAAGTAAGAAGATGTCTCGGAAACCTGTTGTATAGCCTGGTTATATTATACGAAAAGGATGATTCGAAGAGGGAAGTAGAGTGAATAGGCGGCGTCAAGCAAGATCGAAAACGTACATTGATATGGTGTACGTCTGATCTAAATTGTATTTTGTTAAAAAGATACGATGGTTCTTTATAGATAATTAATTTATGATAAAATATAAAACAATGTAACAAGATTCGTTTTTCAATATTTAGCCACCCTAACTCAGCTAAAGCTTCAGAGATATGGTCGCGTCTTTTTAAACCAGAAATCAAACGCACACAAGAGTTCTGTACTAATTGGAGTCTTCGCAAATCACATTTTAGCAGTGCTGGACCATATACTACATCGGCAAAATTTAAATGTGAAAATACCAAAGCCTCACATAGAGTAATTTTACTTTTTCGGTCTAAAAGTCCCCTATTTGCATAAATTAACTTTAAGTTGCAGTAAGCTCTCTTAATAATTAAGTTTACATGTTGCGTATAATGCAAAGAGGTGTCCAGAATCAAACCAAGATTTTTTGAACTTTCAACTAATGGTATAGGTGTATCATTTATGTTTAAGATAACAGAGTCCAGAGTTCGTTTTCGCGGATTTTTTCTTCCAAAGAAGAGAACTTGGGATTTCTATGGGTTAAGACTGAGGCAAAAATGTCTGGCAGTATCCGCTAATGATTGGAGATCCCTATTTAACTGTTTTATTGCTAATTGAGTATTATTTTCAGGGAAAGAAATATAAAGTTGAGTATCGTCGGCATAGAAATGGCTAGTGGAGTACCTCAGTGATTTGTAAAATTCAAAAGTGTAGATATTGAAAAAGATCGGTCCCAAGACAGAGCCCTGGGGAACACCATTCTCAACTGTCAAATATTGTGATACTATTTTGTCCACAACAACAGCTTGCTCCCTTCCCTGAAGATAGCTGCTCAACAGCTCAACTGCATTATCGGAGAAACCAATGTAATGGAATATGGCTAGCAACAGTTCATGTTTTATTCTATCAAAAGCTTTGGTAAAATCTAATAGTACAAGTACTGTTAATTCATTACGATCAATTGCCCTAAGAATATCATCAGTAATGTTTAATAAAGCGGTAGTGCAACTATGTTTAGGTCTAAATCCTGATTGCTGTTGAGGTATAATAGTATAATTATTAATGTGTAAACTTATTTGTACATGAACAATTTTTTCGAAGCACTTTGCAAGAGCACATAATATACTAATAGGGCGAAGTGATTTATAATCTAACGGTTTACTAACTTTGGGCAGTGGATGGATTAGAGATTTTTTCCAGGTAGACGGAAAAACATTATGGGTAATGCAAGTGTTAAAAATGTGACAAATATATTTTAAAATAAATGGACAAGCGTACAGTAACATGTTAACACTTAAAAGATCTGGACCAACAGCTTTGGACTTAAACGATAATATAGTTCTATAGATTTCTAGTTCGTTCGTTAATGAAAAATTAAAAGAAATAATATTAGGCAATATATTATTTTTGTAATAGTCGACTGTTAAATTATTCACAGGAAAATCAGATTTCGATGCATTTACAAAATATTCGTTAATTTCTTTTGGATTTTTTAGTTCTATTGGCAAGGAATGGTTCTTAGATTTAGAGTAAATATCTAGATTACGTAATTCTTTCCAGAATGTTTTCTGATTTCCGCAGTTTCTTAACTTAAATTCTAAATAAGCCTTTTTTTCTCTTTGTATTGCACTCTTAGTTTCATTTCTTAACTGTTTATAATATTCCCAATGACCCTGAACACCGGTTCTCTTAAACCTTACTAATGCTCTGTCTCTAAGAGACATCATTTTCTTTATAGTGTATGTGATCCAAGGAGCAGAAGGACGTGTAATTTTTACAGTCTTTTGTGGTGCGTGGTGGTCAAAAAGAACGAGAAGGATATTATTAAAATAATCAATTTTATCATCAATATTACGTAAATGAAAAATTTTATCAAAATTAGTTGCTTCTAGTTCAGCAGTAAAATGGGTAATGTTAAAAGGTTTGAAATTTCTAAACGTGATAAAGGAGGGATCTGTTTTTGGAATTTTATTGGAAAATGTTAGAGATGACATACAATGATCAGCT